GGCGGAGAGGGGTGGAAAAGGGTGGAGAGGTTTGAGTTGGCTGCGAGGGCAATTGAGGCTGTGTTAATGCTCCAGTGCAGGAAGGAAAGGGTGGTACTCACTTAGTGCCTTGGAGTTGCCGCGAGCAAGTGTAGCTCGGGAGGAGAGAGAGAGGGGTCACAGGCGAGATGCCATACAGCAGTGCTTGAAGGCGCCATAGGGGGCCAGCAAGGTGACTTTTGAGTCGACTCAAGAGGGGTCACTCACAGGCGAGATGCCATACAGCAGTGTTTCATTTGAAGGCGCCATAGGGGGCCGGCAAGAAGGTCTTTCAAAAACGCGCACAATCACATGGCTAGAAGGGAAAGGGCGGTACTCACTCTGTGCCTCGGAGTTGGCGCGAGCAGGTGTAGCCCGGCAGGGGAGAGGGGTCACAGGCAACGCCACGCAGTGTTGGGGGGGGGGCCACAGGGGGCTGGAAATATATATATATATTTTTTTGACTGCACTCAAGCATATGGTTAGAGAGGCACAAGTGGTGCTTACTCTGTGCCTCGTAGCTGCTTCGAGCAGTTGAATCCCAGCAGGGGAGAGGGGTCACAGGCAACACCGCAGAGCGTTGGGGGTAAGTGCTGCTTACTCTGTGCCTCGGAGTTGGCGCGAGCAGGTGTAGCCCGGCAGGGGAGAGGGCTCACAGGCAACGCCACGCAGTGCTGGGGGGGCCACAGGGGGCCGGCTTGGAGGGGAGGTGCAGGAGTAGTCCAGAAACAATGCGCCTCTGGGGGAGGGAGAGGTTGGAATGGGGGGAGAGGTTGGAATGGGGGGAGAGGTTGGAATGGGGGGAGAGGTTGGTATGGGGGGAGAGGTTGGAATGGGGGGAGAGGGGGAAAGAGAGAGGGGGAAAGAGAGAGGGGGAAAGAGAGAGGGGGAAAGAGAGAGGGGGGGGAAGGGAAGACGAGGAGGAAAGGAGACGGATCAGAAACAGGCAACGGGGCGCAGTGTTGGTGGGACACTGGGGGGCGACGAGGGGGGAAGCCTGGAAGGTGCATGCAGGAGTAGTCCAGACGCACAACGCCACTGAGGGGGAGGGTGAAGTATTGGGGGACAAGGGAGGGGGAAAGAGAGGGGGAAAAAGAGGGGGAAAGAGAGGGGGAAAAAGAGGGGGAAAGAGAGGGGGAAAAAGAGGGGGAAAGGAAAGACGAGGAGAGGGATTGCAGACAGGCAATGTGACGTAGTGTTGGGGGGGCCACTGGGGGGTGGCGAGGGGGGAAGGAAGGTGCAGGAGTAGTCCAGAAACAATGCGCCACTGGGGGGGAGGGGGGAGTAATGGGGGGAGAAGGGCGAGAGAGAGGGAAAAAGGGAAGACAGGAAGGTGGGAAGGCAATGGCGTGCCAGGCCAGAGGTTTATAGTTTTGAGGCGCCTCAAAACAGGGGGTTTATAGGGGGGGGGCAGCAAGGAGGGAAGGTGCAGTGCAGGATTAATTCAGGAGCAATGCGCCTCTGGGGGAGGGTGGGCAGGGAAGGTGTGGAGGAGAAGGGAGACAGGGTGGGCCGGAGGAGTGAGTTGGTTGGCCAAAGGGGTTGGTTGGCAAGGGGACGATGTGTGTGTTCATTCATGTACGCGTGTGTGTACGAGCTGGTTTTTGAGAATTCTCAAAAACCAGCCGGAGGAGAGGAGTGAGTAGTCCAAAGGGGTTGGTTGGCAAGGGGACGATGTGTGTGTTCATTCATGTACGCGTGTGTGTACGAGCTGGTTTTTGAGAATTCTCAAAAACCGGCCGGAGGAGAGGAGGGAGTAGTCCAAAGGGGTTGGTTGGCAAGGGGACGATGTGTGTGTTCATTCATGTACGCGTGTGTGTACGAGCTGGTTTTTGAGAATTCTCAAAAACCGGCCGGAGGAGAGGAGGGAGTAGTCCAAAGGGGTTGGTTGGCAAGGGGACGATGTGTGTGTTCATTCATGTACGCGTGTGTGTACGAGCTGGTTTTTGAGAATTCTCAAAAACCGGCCGGAGGAGAGGAGTGAGTAGTCCAAAGGGGTTGGTTGGCAAGGGGACGATGTGTGTGTTCATTCATGTACGCGTGTGTGTACGAGCTGGTTTTTGAGAATTCTCAAAAACCGGCCGGAGGAGAGGAGTGAGTAGTCCAAAGGGGTTGGTTGGCAAGGGGACGATGTGTGTGTTCATTCATGTACGCGTGTGTGTACGAGCTGGTTTTTGAGAATTCTCAAAAACCGGCCGGAGGAGAGGAGTGAGTAGTCCAAAGGGGTTGGTTGGCAAGGGGACGATGTGTGTGTTCATTCATGTACGCGTGTGTGTGTATGTGATGGCAGTGAGGGAGGGGAGGGTCACATTGTCATACCGGTTGGGTCCGTGGTAGAGCGGCGTGGGCGAGTTGTCAGGGGAGTGCGCCCAGAGAATGACGTTGGAGGCATCTAGCGCCAGAGGCACCGCTGCTACGTCACCTGCTGTCCTCATGAACCTGGGGGTAAGGAGGGAGCAGGGAGAAGGAAGAGGATGACGTCTGCCACATCACCTGCTGTTCTCATGAATCTGAGAGGGGGAGCGGGGAGCTAGTGGGTTGTAACTTGTACGTGTACAAAGCAATGGGGTGAGTGCAGGTGACAGGGCAGAGCGGTGAGCGTGAGTTGTCAGTTTGGGAGTGCGCCTAGAGAATGACGTTGCAGGCATCCAGTGCGCCGCTACGTCGCCCACTGCCCTTAGAAACCCGAGAGGAGGGCGCAGGGGGAGCGAGGGAGGGAGCAAGGAGGGGAGCAAGGGAGGGTGGCGTGTGCAAGTTGTCAGGGGAGTGCGCCTAGAGAATGACGTTGGAGGCATCCAGTGCCAGAGGCACCGATTCGCCATCCCCTCCCCTCACCTCCCTACGACGGAGTCGTACAAGCCAACCAAAAGAAGAAGAAGAAAATAATTCCCTCACCTCCCCTCTCACCTCACTATGGTCGAACCCCTCGGATTCACAGTCACACTCCAGTTCGTTTTGCTGTACGAAAGCCCGTGCTCCATCCGCTTCATCCCCTCTACAGAGTACCCCGCTATATGCACGGCCATGAGCGGGCCTGTAGCCTTCAACCCCCCCCCTGCCGCGTTGGCAAGTATCGCGTCGCTGCCTGCCATCCGCCCGTCCCAGGACCAGCCAATCGCAAGCCAGCCTGCCTCCGCGCCGCTCTCCGACTTAGCCTCTAATGCCACGTGGACTGATGACGTGGCAGGGTGGACGATCCAGTGGAGGAGAAGGCTGGTAGGGAGGGATGGGGTTTGGATATTATGGAAGAGTAGGAGTGTGAGTGTGTGAGAGTGTGGGAAGTGTGGGAGAGTAAGAGTGTGTGAGAGGTTGAAAATGCTGAGTAAGGGGAGAAATAGGATACAGGCAAGGAAACGACGATGGGGAGAAACAGAGGAATAGAAGCAGATGAGGGGAAACGACTGGGGAGATGCAGAGGAGGACCAGAGAAAGAGGGGAGGAGGAACGAGACGAACAGTGTTTTGAGACGTCTCAAAACACTTCTTCATGCAAGAAGCAGATGAGGGGAAACAACTGAGGAGATGCAGAGGAGGATCAGAGAAAGAGGGGAGGAGGAACGAGACGAACAAAGCAACAATTTACGCACCTGCCACCTGGCGCATCAAATCCCTATGCCACGTGGCACTCACCCGTTGCTGGAGAGCTGCGTGGAGTGCGTGTACCCGCCCAACGTGGACGGCTGGCATCGCGCCACCTGTAACACGCTGCTGTCCGTCGCCCATTGGCTGGTTTCTTGCAGCATTCTCGAGCCACCGACGTCTGCCTCCCATTGGCTGGTTTCTTGCGGCATTCTCGAGCCGCCAGTGTCCGCTTCCCATCGATCGCTGGCGGCAATGTCAGGATGCAGACCCGACACGCCATCCTGACTCGATAAGGAATCGCGAGACGCGGCTAAAGCGCGTATATTCGGTGAATGAGGAGATATAAAAACGAGCAGCACGTGGAAGAGCGAGAGGACAGGCAGTAAGCGACGTCGACGGTGAATCATGTGGTCGAAATGAGCTTGATTTGTCATGGCGAGGATCCCAGCTCGACCGGTAGTACCGGCAGTAAGCATCACTAAAGGCGTTAAAACAAATAATACGCTAAATTCCTAAAAACTAATTATTATTTTGCCGCTGCTTCAGCTGCATTGCTGGTCCGAACTTGTAAGACAACACCAAAGCTTGCTAGATTTAGCACCAACGCCAAGAATAAGATGGCGTTCCCACAGTTTCCCGACAACGAAGTTTGCCCACCAGGCTCAAAAATTGTCAGGATGGTGGTCAGAGTGGGGTACTGCCCCACTCTGGACACCGCGTCCTTGCGAGCCGTTACGACCAGATTGCGACCTTCTGACCAGTAAACACGTAAAAAATCTAGTCGCACCCAATAGGCCTTCACATCTGGCTATCGGATGGACTCAACGACTCGGTTGGGATTTCTGACTCCCGCGTAAAACGGTGCCCGGAAAATCGAGAACAAAAAATTCTGAGGTACACTGAATCATTTTTGCTATTGAATGGCGTTGACTCAGAAACCGGGCAGCTGAACTTCGGGCAATGACACAGAAATGTGGGTTGGGTCGTAGCCCATTTCGGTAGGCGTCGTGGGCCGTCAGATGAGATCGTATACGGCTGTGGATGAACAGTTGCACGACCAATTTGATGGGAATCTTGGTGGTCGAACTTCGAGCCGCATGTTGGCAAATTTCTCGAAATTGGCCAAATTGTCGGGAAACTGTGGGAAACTGTGGGAACCCTCTAAGCATTGCTAGTATCAGAGAAAACTTCGCCTGCCATAGATGGTGGTTGGCTGCAATTGGTGGCAATCCCAAGGGCTCGCGAAGTTCGGTCAATCACCATGCGACTGTTTCACGAAAGAGTATCGTTCTCAAACCGCACGACGCCAATAACCCTGATATTAAAACACATAATTATATATTTCTTAAATGTATATTAAACAAAACATGTCTAATCAGATCTAGAGGGCATCGATAATTATTATGCCCGGCTAGCATATGCGCTGTACTGAGGCCTTTCTAGTTTGCTGCTTTCAAGCTGGTCGCGGCATACAAAGAGCATGTACACTATGACAAACAATGCCATTATGATGCCTAGAAATGCTTCGAGGCCCTGCAATGCAGCACAGACGAGAGGGAAGCATGAGCTCAACTGGCAAAAAAGGAATCAAAACATAACACGGCATAACAAAGGCAAGCGACAATAAAAGGAAATGCCCGTTTGAAATACAAATAGTGGCAGAACTCAAAATGAATGTCAAACTCACAAATGGATCGCTTCCGATGAAGCTGAAGTAGAGGTTCATCCCGAGGAATATGCTCGCCCATCCCATCACCACCGCCACAATACCAACCGCCCAGTGCACCCAGTGCCACGTGCTCCTTGTCCACATGGCAAAGCGCGATTGGTCGATGCTTCCATTCCCATTGCTGAGTGGCCGTAGGAAAATGACGAGTGGTTGGAAGACGAGGAGGAGAACGAGAACAGCAATGCCAACCCCTGCGTGGGCGTGACTGAAGCCATGAGCCCCAGATGAGACAAACGCTGTGATGCACCCGATGCAGATACAGACGAGCGAAGCCACCTGCAGATACTTGTGCCATGCCAACCAGAATGCTCGGCTCTGCTGCAACTGCACAGTAAGATCTCCCCCCTCCTGCCGCCGCTGCTGGGTTGCACGTGCTGACGTGGCACCGCGTGCACCTGCCATGTCAGCATGCGGCGAGGCTGACTCTGCACGGGCGAAACTAGCCATGCTGGCATCTAGCTGGGCGTTGGCTTCAGCAAGGCGAAGCGGGCCAGTGTGTGTGACTCTACCCAACGTGACTGTACCAAAGCCACTACTGCTGCTGCTGCTGGTGCTGGTACGGCAGTCCTCGTCATTTCCAGGAAGGTTCACGAGGCATATCCGAGCAAGGAGGATGGCGGAGGGCATGAGGATGAGGAAAGCAGCGATGAGAAAGATGGCATGGGCTATTATGGCTGATTTGTTGAAGTGCGGAGGGGGAGAGGCGGAGGGGGAGGAGGAGGGGGATGGAGAGGCAGTGATTGATTCTCCTGTGACGAGGTTGATGGACACTGATCCCCTGTGGGAGGGGAGGAGAGGAACAGGGGGGCAGAGAAGGGGACACGAAAAAAGGGCAGAAGAGGGGGCAGGACAAGGGCATGAGGATGAGGAAAGCGGTGATGAGAAAGATTGCACGAGGTGGTTTTTGAGAATTCTCAAAAACCACCTCGCTATGATGGCTGATTTGTTGAAGTGTGGAGGGGAAGAGGCGGAGGGGGAGGAGGAAGGAGAGGCAGTGATTGATTCTCCTGTGACGAGGTTGATGGACACTGATCCCCTGGTGGGGCAGAGGGAGGGGAAGAAGGAGCCAGAGGTGAGGATGAGGAGGGAAGGGCAAAAGAGAGAGTGAGTGAAGGGGAGCGTGAGGATGAGGAGGGTGGTGATCAGGCAGATGGCATTTGCTATGATGGCTGGCTTGTTGAATTGAAGTGCGGGGGGGGGAGGTGGCGGAAAGGGGGGATGGGGAGGCGAGTTGAGTCCATATCCCCCGTGCCATTCCCCAGGAAGCTTCTGCGAACCTCACCTGTTGTTTCCGTGAAAGGTGAGCTTCCTGGAACCTTCGTTGGAGTACGCCCAGATGATGGTTGCCACGTCAGCAGATGAAAGCGGCAGCTGTCCGTTCACTAGTGGCCGCTCGAACCTGCATGATGGGGGGGAAAAGGGTGAGGGTGGGAAATGGGGGAGGGAAGTGAGGTGGGGGAAAATGGGGGAGTGTGAGGGGGTGGGATGGGGGGGGGTGTGAGGGGGAGGGGTGGAAATGGTAGTGGTGACCAATGTGGATAGAGGAGGGCAGCGGAGGGCGGACAGCGAGGGGGCGCAGGTGGGCTTCTGGAAAATTCAGCAACTGGAACGGAGTGACTTTCCTAAAGCAGCACAAAGCCAAGCCAGGAGAGGAGATGCTGAGAGAGGGGGGGGGGAAATGGAGAAATGCTAAGCCAGGCACAAAGGACACGAGAAGCACACAGATCGTTTGTGCCTGGCTTAGCATTCCAAATATCGTTTAACAGCACACAGACTCACTTCATCACGGTCCTTCCCCTGCTCGTTGTTGTCACACTTGCATTAGTCAGAGTGACCTTCGGAGCTGGACGAATGGCACTCCTCTCGTAACCACCAATCAGGAACGATCCTACCGCTTGCTCCTGCTCCTTCTTCTGCCCCGTTGCCACGTCAGCACCGCCGCCTGCCCTGCTGGTGCCACGTGGCAGGTTCCCGATGGCTGCCTCGCTGCCGGTCATCTTGCCGTCCTTGGACCAGCCGAGGGCCACCCAACCAGTGGTTGCCACGTCAGCAGCGAGGAGTAGGGAGGAGGGGGTGAGATGCCAATGAAGGATGAAGCTGGGGGGGGGGGGGGGGGGGGGGGGGGGGGGGGGGGAGGGAGGGGGGGTGGGGGCGGGATGGAAAGACAAGATGGGGGGATGTAAGGAACGGCGGAAGGGAGGAGGGAGGGGGTGAGATGCCAGTGGAAGGTGAAACTGGGGGGGGTTGGGGAGCGGGGGGGAGGGGGAGAGAACGGCGGAACGGCGGAAGGGAGGAGGGAGGGGGTGAGATGGCAGTGGAAGGTGAAACTGGAGTGGGTTGGGGGAGGGGAAAAGGGAGACAGGGGGAGGTTGGGAAGAATAGGGAACCCTTGCACGGTGCTACAGCCTCAACTGTGCTGAATCTGTTCTTCTGTTTTCTGTGCTACAGCCTCGACTGTGCTGAATCTGTTCTTCTGTTTTCTGTGCTACAGCCTCGACTGTGCTGAATCTGTTCTTCTGTTTTCTGTGCTACAGCCTCAACTGTGCTGAATCTGTTCTTCTGTTTTCTGTGCTACAGCGTCGACTGTGCTGAATCTGTTCTTCTGTTTTCTGTGCTACAGCCTCGACTGTGCTGAATCTGTTCTTCTGTTTTCTGTGCTACAGCCTCAACTGTGCTGAATCTGTTCTTCTGTTTTCTGTGCTACAGCCTCAACTGTGCTGAATCTGTTCTTCTGTTTTCTGTGCTACAGCCTCGACTGTGCTGAATCTGTTCTTCTGTTTTCTGTGCTACAGCCTCGACTGTGCTGAATCTGTTCTTCTGTTTTCTGTGCTACAGCCTCGACTGTGCTGAATCTGTTCTTCTGTTTTCTGTGCTACAGCCTCAACTGTGCTGAATCTGTTCTTCTGTTTTCTGTGCTACAGCCTCGACTGTGCTGAATCTGTTCTGTTTTCTGTGCTACAGCCTCGACTGTGCTGAATCTGTTCTTCTGTTTTCTGTGCCACAGCCTCGACTGTGCTGAATCTGTTCTTCTGTTTTCTGTGCTACAGCCTCGACTGTGCTGCATCTGTTCTGTTTTCTGTGCTACAGCCTCGACTGTGCTGAATCTGTTCTTCTGTTTTCTGTGCCACAGCCTCGACTGTGCTGAATCTGTTCTTCTGTTTTCTGTGCTACAGCCTCAACTGTGCTGAATCTGTTCTTCTGTTTTCTGTGCTACAGCCTCAACTGTGCTGAATCTGTTCTTCTGTTTTCTGTGCTACAGCCTCGACTGTGCTGAATCTGTTCTTCTGTTTTCTGTGCTACAGCCTCGACTGTGCTGAATCTGTTCTTCTGTTTTCTGTGCTACAGCCTCGACTGTGCTGAATCTGTTCTTCTGTTTTCTGTGCTACAGCCTCAACTGTGCTGAATCTGTTCTTCTGTTTTCTGTGCTACAGCCTCGACTGTGCTGAATCTGTTCTGTTTTCTGTGCTACAGCCTCGACTGTGCTGAATCTGTTCTTCTGTTTTCTGTGCCACAGCCTCGACTGTGCTGAATCTGTTCTTCTGTTTTCTGTGCTACAGCCTCGACTGTGCTGCATCTGTTCTGTTTTCTGTGCTACAGCCTCGACTGTGCTGAATCTGTTCTTCTGTTTTCTGTGCCACAGCCTCGACTGTGCTGAATCTGTTCTTCTGTTTTCTGTGCTACAGCCTCAACTGTGCTGAATCTGTTCTTCTGTTTTCTGTGCTACTGCCTCAACTGTGCTGAATCTGTTCTTCTGTTTTCTGTGCTACAGCCTCAAAAAGAGTTCTCCTGTACACCTCAGCCTTCAGCTGCCGGCAGGGCAGCTGCAACCGAGTTGACTTTTAAGTCGACTCAAAACTCAAAAGTCAACTCAAAACTCAGAACAGATGAGTTCTCCTGTACACCTCAGCCAGCAGCTGCCGGCAGCTGCAACCGGGAAGGCCAGCTACAGTCCGCGCTGCTGCTACAGGCTACTCACAGCGCAGTCAGGTTGAGTTTACTTTTGAGAATTCTCACAGCACACACACCGCAGGTAAACTCTACTCACAGCGCAGTCAGGTTGAGTTTACTTTTGAGAATTCTCACAGCACACACACCGCAGGTAAACTCTACTCACAGCGCAGTCAGGTTGAGTTTACTTTTGAGAATTCTCACAGCACACACACCGCAGGTAAACTCTACTCACAGCGCAGTCAGGTTGAGTTTACTTTTGAGAATTCTCACAGCACACACACCGCAGGTAAACTCTACTCACAGCGCAGTCAGGTTGAGTTTACTTTTGAGAATTCTCACAGCACACACACCGCAGGTAAACTCTACTCACAGCGCAGTCAGTGCCTCACCTGTCCGCGCTGTAGCAGCTGTAGCGGCTGCAGCCGGGGGGGGTGGACTGCTGGCAGGACTGATATGACCTGTGGCCTGCTACAGCCATGCTGCTGCTACCAGAGCCTCACCTGTCGCCGTTTAGCTGTAGCATGCAGGTGTAGCCGGGCAGGGACGACGGCTGGCAGGACTGGCGGGCAGGTGAGGCGAGCAGGTCGCACATGTAATCCACAAAGGCGGAGCCTCTGAATGGGGGAGACGGGGGGTTAAGTTGGGGTTGAACAACAAGGGATGGCAGGACTGGCGGGCAGGTGAGGCGAGCAGGTCGCACATGTAATCCACAAAGGCGGAGCCTCTGAGAGAGAGAGGGGGGAGAGGGAAGGCGTAAGAGGAAGAAAGGTGGGGAAGGGGTAAGGGGAAGACAGGTAATAGGGGTTTGGAAGGACGGGAGCGGGGCGGGTGGAAGGAGGAGAGCACGTGGGAGCTTATTGTGTTGGAGCACGCGCCCGTTTCGCTCACGACACCCGTTCCGCTCAAGTGCTTGAATCGGGTATGCTTATAACGAGGCTACATGCACCCACCTGTTCTTGCCATGATAACGAAGCACATCTTCTTGGCGGTTCGAGTACGCCCAGATCTCGCGGTGGATCATGGTAATGGAAATCACTTTTGAGAAATTTAAAAAGTGATTTGGTGAGATGGTGAGGTGGTGAGATGGTGAGGATATGTCACAAGATCATGTGGTGGCTCATGCTGTACGGAGGTGACTTTTGAGTCGACTCAAAAGTCACCTCGAGATGGTGAGGATATGTGGTGAGAATATGTCACAAGATCATGTGGTGGCTCATGCTGTACGGAGGTGACTTTTGAGTCGACTCAAAAGTCACCTCGAGATGGTGAGGATATGTGGTGAGAATATGTCACAAGATCATGTGGTGGCTCATGCTGTACGTCGGCTTGCTGTGGGGGCCTCACGTGCATTAAGAGAACGGGCTTAGAGAATTTTGTGCTTATAACGAAGATACTGTACACACACACACACACACACACACACACACACACACACACACACACCTGTTCCTGCCCTGGTATTGGAGCACGTCCTCTCGTCGGTTCGAGTACGCCCAAATCACATGGTGGCTCATGCTGTACGTTGGCTCAGTGGAAGTGCTCCATTCCCCTGTTCCGCACATGGACCCACATACAAATCGTTGTCTCCCTACTGTACAAGCACACACACACACACACACACACACACACACACACACACACACACACACCCCTGTTCCTGCCATGGTATCGGAGCACGTCCTCTCGTCGGTTCGAGTACGCCCAAATCACATGGTGGCTCATGCTGTAGGTTGGCTCAGTGGAAGTGCTCCATTCCCCTGTTCCGCACATGCACCCACATACAAATCGTTGTCTCTCTACTGTACAAGCATTTTTGAGGCGCCTCAAAACTCCCTACTGTACAAGCACACCCACCTGTTCCTGTTTTTGAGTCGACTAAAAAATCTTTGTCTCCATACTGTACATGCACCCACACACCCACCTGTTCCTGCCATGGTATCGGAGCACGTCCTCTTTTCTGCCCGAGTACGCCCAGATCACGTGGTGACTCATGCTGTACGTGGGCTCGCTAGAAGGGCTCCCTTCTCTGCAGACACTCAGCAAGCTTACCTGTTCTTCCCATGGTATCGGAGCACGTCCTCCCGTCGCTCCGAGTACGCCCAGAACACGTGGTGGCTCATGCTGTACGTGGGCTCACCACAGGCGGATTCATGTGCTCTAAACAGGAAACGAGGCCACATGCAGTTGCACCCACCTGTTCTTCCCATGGTATCGGAGCACGTCCTCCTGTCTGTCCGAGTACGCCCAGATCACCTGGTGACTCATGCTGTACGTGGTCTCACCACAGGCGGATTCATGTGCTCTAAACAGGAAACGAGGCCACATGCAGTTGCACCCACCTGTTCTTCCCATGGTATCGGAGCACGTCCTCCTGTCTGTCCGAGTACGCCCAGATCACGTGGTGGCTCATGCTGTACGTCGGCTCGTTAGAAGGGCTCCCTTCCGTTGCTGCGCTTATACCGGTTGTGCTTGTATTGAGGATGGGTGGGTTTGAGACGAGGCTTCGGGAGAAGCTGGATTGAGGAGCAGGGGAAGGTAGCAAGGGGAGGTGATGGGACAGGGTGGGGAGGGAGAAAAAGGAAGGGGGGGGAAGGAAATGAGGTTGAGAGTGGAGGAAAGGAGATGATGGGGAAAGGAGGGGCGGAGAGGGGCGGAGAGAGGTTCTTATTTCAACCCCCAGTTCGCCTGGTAACTGAAACGTGGGAGAGGGGAAGCAAGTAGGGAAACAGGAATGTCGCCCGAACTCTGAAACCTCGAATCAGGGAGGAGGAGCAAAGGGAGAATGTGTAGTTTTGAGGCGCCTCACAAAAAGTAATAAAGGAAAGCTGCCAGAACTCGCAAAGCTTAAAATAGAGGGGAAAAGCGAAGGGAGAATGTGAGGGGAGAGCCACGTGCAGTGAGCCACGTGTAGTGAGCCACGTGTAGTGAGAATGTGAAGGGAAAACACCCTCACTACACGTGCTTAAAATAGAGGGGAAAAGCGAAGGGAGAATGTGAGGGGAGAGCCAATGGAGGAGGGAGGTGGGAGAGGGAGAACAGAGCTGACTCATCACACGTGAAAGATGACTCATCGCACGTGACAGCTGACTCATCCCCCACTGCAGCTCACCGCATCACAGTCGACCCCCGTGCTGACGTGTAAATGCTCCACCCCTCTCCACCGCTCCCCACCTCTCCTCCTCCCCCGTTCCCCGCGCCTTCCACCAGCAGTCGCACATCATCCCGCTTATACCCGCTAATAGCATACGACGCCACGCCAGCCGCTTTGCCCAAAACACCCACTCCGCCGCCCGAACCAATCCCCCTGCCGCCCGGGTTCTGGGCGGCAGTGCCGGCCGGCGAGCCGACGATGGCCATGCTGGGGACCATGCGACCGTCGTGCGACCATCCCACTGCGACCCAACCGTTCTCCGCGCCGCTTCCGAAGCGCGCCTCGAGCGCGAACTCGAGAAAGAGCAGGTTGCGGCGCACCCAGTGCAGGATGAGACTGGGGGGGAGATGAGGGGAAAAGACGGGGAGATAGCGGGGAAGGGGGCGGTGGTTGGGGGGAAAGAGGGGTGTTGTTGCTTTGTTGACATCATGCGCGCCTCGAGCGCGAACTCAAAACGAGGAGGTTGCGGCGCACCCAGTGGAGGATGAGACGGGGACAAGAGGGGAGACGGAGACGGGGGGAAGAGAAAAAGGGGCAAGACTGGGGAAGAAGGGGAAGAGAGCCGCTCAGATGCCGAAGCGCGGCTCGAGCGCGGCGAACTCGTGGAAAAGCAGGTCGTGGCGCACCCAGTGCAGGATGAGACTGGAAAGTGAATTCAGAGTGGGGATAAAAGCGGAAAGGTGGGTAGGGGGGAGGTGGAGGTGGAAGGGGGAAAGGGGAAAGGGGAAGGCTGAAGAGTAGCGTAAGAATTTGCGCCGCTGCCAATGCAGCGCCCTTTTGACACACACCCTTACCCGGCCTCTGACAGAACCTGAGTGGCGGAATCCCGCCAGCCCCGCCGGCATACCGTGTGACACGGCCCGCAGCTCGATATGCTCAACTCGCTTCTCTTCGCTTTAAACGACTCCCCTGATAAGCACTCCCTCCCTCCCTTACCCGGCCTCCGACAGGACCACCGAGTGGCTGAATCCCGCCAGCCCCGACGGCAAACACGGCGCGACGAACGCGGCTCCTTCGATACCGTCCAAATGCCCCAATGGGTCCCCGTGCCACCCGAAGCTCGCCTCTACCGCCGCCACTTCCGCATCCGCCGCCGCCGCCGCCGCCGCACGCGTTCCGGCCGGAGGCGCCGCAGATGCGATTGGCGGCTGGAAAACGGCGATGCAGATTAAAGTGCAGACACAGAGAGCGGCGCGATTCAAGAACCATCGACGAGCCGCGATGTCGTGAGAACGCTCCCTAGATTCCATCTCCCGTACGGTCCGACAAGAGTCGGGCGATCGTAAGTCGCCTGCCAAGCAGCTTGTAGGAGAACGCTCATCCAAGCGTCGACTAACTGACGGAGTTGAGGAAATCGAGGTCTCGGCCCTTCCAACATCTAAGGCTGTTGAATGCGATAACGTTTTTACTTTTGCTCGAACTCGTAACGATTCTAAATGGCGTAGGGATGCTGCTGTTTTCTTCCTTGAAGGCGGATGGTGGATACGCGCTATTGAAGGATGTCCTTCAAGCGAGTCGCACGGTTGGGACATGACGTCTCGTGACGCGCCAACCGCCGCGTCAATTCCAGAGAACTTTCATTCCAAAAATCTGCCCTCACAAATACTTCGGCTCGGCATGGCAATCCTGGCTCGTGTGAACTGCAGTGACGACGAAATGAGACTCGCTCGAGCAGCCCAGTGTTGTTTGGGAAGGGCAGGGCATGTGGACGGGAAGGCATGAAAAGGTGTTTAGTGGGGAAGGGGCAGCTCGAGGTAACCTGTGCGGCCCAGATTATAGCACAGTCGAGTGTGTGCGTACCCATTGCCCCTAGCGAGCAAAACAGGTCTCGGAGATCGTCGGTTCGTCGTCGTGCAGTGTGCGACGGGAGGAGACTTGTTTTGAGGACTGCGACGGGTCGTCGTGATTCGTGAATGTGGTGGCGATTTTTGGGGAGGTGCGTGGAGCCGGGTAGGTTCGGTCGGGTTGGTCGTCATGAATTTGTCGCACAGCGCGATCCGTCATCCACCCGTCCATACGAGTTTACCTGTTTTGGAATGATTTCGTTTTGTGGCATCACGCGATGTGAGTGCGGGCAGCGACGAGCGGAAAAAACACTTGTGCCTTGATTGGATTAGAACGAATGCATCGGAGACGAGCCGCGGACTCGAAAATGCGATGTGAAAATTCGGCATCACCCGCCGCCGACCCGATTCGTTGACTCCACGGAAATGCCATGTCCGGGACCAAGCCACGTCAGCTGGGTGGGTGTGCGGCGCGTAATCGTGCTGGCTGGCAAGTACCCGTTCTTGCTTGAAGACAGACAGATAATCCTTCCTTGTACATCGATAATGTAATTCAATGTACCCAGAGAGCAAAACCACTCTCAGCATTGCAATGAAATAGACAGAAAGCCTACAAGCCATTTTACAACAAAATGACAAAAGTAATGCTACTGCATCCCAACACATAAGCAGCACTCCGTCCCTCAAATCTAAAAGCATCTGCAAGGTGCCACAGTCACGCAATGATGAAGCAATAACAAACTCCATAACGTCACGAAAAAAAATTTATACATTCGCATAGCTCGCTCTAATGCCTTCTGCGTCTCTTATCATCGTCGTCGTCGTCGTCGTCGTCGTCGTCATCCTCATCGTCGTCCTCATCTCCGTAATCCTCCTCTGCCTTGCTAGAGGGGGCATACCGGCATGAGAAATCCACCTTTGCAGTGCCACTGCAAAAAAGAGCACCCGTCAGTTAAAAAGTTAGCAAATAAGTGAACCTTCCAATTCTCTGCGGTATGGGACTGCTTCTGAAAAAAAAAGAGAAGGGCAAGCGAGAGGGACAGGGGCACTCACTAGCTGTTGCCGTGGAAGGAAAGCGAGGGAAAGCCTGGGCGGGAGAAGGCCCACACGAGCTTAGACAGCCCTGCCATGGGGAATCGCATGACCACTCCCGTGTTCTTGGTGCGAGAGAAGCTGCAGGAGAAGATGGGTGCGGGAAGAGGAGGAATGTGGGGGGAGAAGGGTGATATGGTTGAAGGCAAACGTGCGTAGGAAGGCCCGGCCATGGGGAAACGCGTGACCACTCCAATGTTCTTGGTACAAGAGAAGCTGTCAGGCGATTGGGGATGGGGTGGGGAGTGAAGATGCGTAGTCATAGTGCTGTGCTGCCAGTCTTAAGAGCGCCCTCATTGTGACTCCCATTCTGTACCCCGTACTAGCATACAGTGAGTATGCTTACAATGCAGCACCCTCATTGTGACTCCCATTCTGTACCCCGTACTAGCATACAGTGAGTATGCTTACAATGCAGCACCCTCATTGTGACTCCCATTCTGTACCCCGTACTAGCATACAGTGAGTATGCTTACAATGCAGCACCCTCATTGTGACTGCCATTCTGTACCCCGTACTAGCATACAGTGAGTATGCTTACAATGCAGCACCCTCATTGTGACTCCCATTCTGTACCCCGTACTAGCATACAGTGAGTATGCTTACAATGCAGCACCCTCATTGTGACTCCCATTCTGTACCCCGTACTAGCATACAGTGAGTATGCTTACAATGCAGCACCCTCATTGTGACTCCCATTCTGTACCCCGTACTAGCATACAGTGAGAATGCTTACAATGCAGCACCCTCATTGTGACCCCATTCTGTACCCCGTACTAGCATACAGTGAGTATGCTTACAATGCAGCACCCCCATTGTAATAACAATGTCGTTGGCCGCAGCTCTCATCCGGTACCCCTTATTAGCATAAGTACAGCATCCTTATAACGCATCACCCACTCACGTGATAATAGTATCATTCGTCGCGGTAGTGACCGTCGCAGCGTTACTCCCAATCGAAAAGGCCGCCGGCATAATCTTGCCCATGTTGTACCCCTTAATAACATACGGCATTACAAGCCCGCCAGCCAGGTTTCCGATAACAGCATCAGCGGGCGACATCTTTCCTTTGGGTGACCATCCAAGGGCGATCCACCCGTCCTTGGCCCTGCCTGCTGCCTTGGCCTCTATCGCCATGTCCACCTGCGTGGCTGAGACCGGTGTCCAGTGCAGGACGAGACTGGGGGGAGGAGGGAAGAGAGCAAGGGTGCAGGGAAGAGAGCAAGGGTGCAGGGAAGAGACCAAGGGTGCAGGGAAGAGAGCAAGGGTGCAGGGAAGAGAGCAAGGGTGCAGGGAAGAGAGCAAGGGTGCAGGGAAGAGAGCAAGGGTGCAGGGAAGAGAGCAAGGGTGCAGGGAAGAGAGCAAGGGTGCAGGAAGGATTGAAGGGGAGGAACAAGGGAATAGGAAGTGCGGGCAAGTAACAGATGCAGGAGGGAGCAGCATGCACGGGCCATGGGCATGCACGGGCCATGGGCATGCAACAGAGAGACACTCACTTGGGCTGGCGCAGGGTGACTTGGAAGGCGTATCCGGGGAGGGTGGATGCGGGGCAGGGGGGAGGAGCAGTCAGGTGCATGTGGGGGCAGCACAAGGCGCATGAGAGGAAGAGCAACAGAGAGGCATCAGGTGTTACTCACTTGGGCGGGCGCAGGGCGGCTTGGAAGGCGTATCCGGGGAGGGTGGATGCGGGGCAGGGGGGAGGAGCAGTCAGGTGCATGTGGGGGCAGCACAAGGCGCATGAGAGGAAGAGCAACAGAGAGGCATCAGGTGTTACTCACTTGGGCGGGCGCAGGGCGGCTTGGAAGGCGTATCCGGGGAGGGTGGATGCGGGGCAGGGGGGAGGAGCAGTCAGGTGCATGTGGGGGCAGCACAAGGCGCATGAGAGGAAGAGCAACAGAGCGGCATCAGGTGTTACTCACTTGGGCGGGCGCAGGGCCACTTGGAAGGCGTATCCGGGGAGGGTGGATGCGGGGCAGGGGGAGGAGCAGTCAGGTGCATGTGGGGGCAGCACAAGGCGCATGAGAGGAAGAGCAACAGAGCGGCATCAGGTGTTACTCACTTGGGCGGGCGCAGGGCCACTTGGAAGGCGTATCCGGGGAGGGTGGACGCGGGGCAGGCTCTACCCGCGGCGAAGGAAGAAGGGGGAGGCGGAGGGGGAGGGGGGGCGCTGGTGGTGGGCGGAGGGGGGGAGGAAGCTGTTCCGCCAGCAGGGGGAGGCGGGGGGTTGGTTGTTCCGCCAGTGGGGGGAGGCGGGTTGGTGGCGGGAGGAGAGGGAGGGGGGGGAGCGACGGGGGAGCCGTTGCAGGAGAAATCAACAGTGAAGATTCCACTGGGGGAGGAAAGGGGGGAAGAGGGGAGGAAAAGGGGAAAGGGGGGAGAAAAAGGGGGAAGAGGGGAGGAAAAGGGGAAAGGGGGGAGAAA